GTTGGCTAGTGAATAGTATTTAAACTTAGTTGGCTAATAGAATGCCACTTGTATATTAATCAGGAGTGATGGAAGACAAGATACATGCAGTGTCCTCATACCCATATCTACAACCTCAAGATTCTAACCTAGGCCATTGCTGTCATTTCAGAAAACAGTAATTCCCCGTCTATGCATCAAGTAATCAGGAAAATTTCTCATTCTTCATCAGAAGATCAACACGTTCAAGTACAAGTTGGATTGGGAATATTTCTTATTTTTTATATAGCTTTTTGGGTATAGTAAAATTGCAGTCCAGTATGTTGAGGAATGTAGCAGCAGATTAATGTTTAGAAATACAGAATTAAAGATAAGGAAGGTGCCAGTTATGTTAGCTAACAGATATCTCTTAGTAGATGTTGAAAAAAAAAAAAAAAAAGAAGGTAAAAAAAGCAAATTCTGAGCTCCGTTTATACGATTAATTTAGATACCTGAACCTAGCTAATGGAAGAATGCAAAGAAATTACAAATGGGAATTGGAAAAAAACATTTACAGTCTTCTATGCATGCAAGAGGAATACAGATTTGATTACCTAAAATCATTCCATCATGATGATTACCAGTATTACTAGGTCTCTGTGTTGGAGCACATGTACATCCACATTTATTATGCATCACCAATTGCGTATAAAATATAGAAAGTTGCTCCATAAGGGTTTAATTTCAAAGATTGCCAATTCATAAAGAGATCCACATATAAATTCATTTTCCTTGTAATTCAGTTCCTTCATGAAACAGGAGATGGAAAAAAAGAACCACCAAGATGAGTTCTGCTATTTGTACTTTTAAAGTGAATTAACAGAATGAGCACATACTAAAATAAAGAGAAGCAGAGGCTAAGATCACGAGTATTATACCTTCAGGCAAGCAAATATTCCTGGGAGGCCATAGCTGCAACTAAGCTGAAAGAATAAAAAAACACAATTAACTCTCAACTTCATATGCATAAGGTTACCTAACTTGTTTTTTTATTTCCAAATGCCATCAATTTTCTAATAATTATATGCACAAAAGAGATGACAGACTATGCTTCCAACAAGCAAAAATGAAAAGGTTAGGGAAAATACTTCAATGCACAACTTAGTGTCCACAATGCATGCCAAGCATTTTCTGAACAATAATTTGGTGCCCACTTCTTCACTAAAGAATTGACATCTTTTGATTCTCAAACAATCCTATGCAAATGGGGTTATTGTTATAAAAAGTGTGGAGTCTTATTATAAAAAGTTCCGTTTACATTTGATTTAGAATGATATCAGGGAAAAAAAGATGATTGAAATAATTAGCCATGCGAATATGGCATCCTTTGGTCAAAGTTCAATTCAGTTAAATTAGTGTCCCAATCTGTGAGAGAGGTGACATCACTTTAACTTTTCCTACCCCTAAAATTACCCTTCCAAAAAGAAACATTAACATTATAGATAACACAGCAGTTAAATGGGTAGTCCAAGCATCTAAAATTACAGGGAGGTAAAGGCGAATAACAGACAACTATTTTATTCTCTTATCTGGGAAAACACAAACGTTTTGCAAATCTTGAGAATCATGACCAAGTAACTTAAGTAAACGAGAAACTGAAAACACACCCTATTTGTTGTAAAGTCGCAGCAGGAATAGATGTAGGCATAAAAAAGTACTACCTCCACCCCTTAATGATTATCCACTTTGACTGCACACATAGTTTTAGGAAACCATTTATATGCATTGACTTTTGTCATAAACTTTTTACATTACCGTATTACCCCTCATTGGAAATAGATGCCAAAAGTCCCAACCAATTTCAAAATTTCAATAAGCAATCCAACAATGGTTATCTTTGGAAAAGTAGAATTAATATCCTCTGACTCGTAAATTGAGAACAGTTAGGGACATCCCAAGATCAAAATGTGGACACTTTTTCAGGGACAGAGGAGTATAATTTATTGAAGAATTTTTCCACAAAGGTATAATGTGGCTTGAATTTTTCTAATAACCATCTAAAATATATAGTGGCAAGGACTGGGAATATATATGTGATACAAATAGAAGATTTCTTTTTGGAAACTATGTTGGAAACAAATAACCTAAATAAGTGAGGCAAGGTGATCGAAACTCATGCTAACATTTTTATGTGGAGTCTGCCTTGACCTTGTGTAATAGCCTGTTCTCTATAACTTAAGTTCTATTTTATGCTTGCCAGAATTTACCTTGCTACCTGCATGTTTTGTTTATAATTCTTTTGTTGAGCAAGCACAAGACTTCTTTAACTTCCAGATATACTGAATTTGGACTGTACTGGCGATCCATGCAACTTATGTTGAGTCTGCTTTTGTTATTGGGTATTCATGTGATACTTGGTAGTTCCATAATGGTCTGCTTCAAAACTGACAAACGGTAAATTTTGGCATCATTCTAATCCTAGCAAAGGAAGAAATGTCCAGCATCCCCTATATGTATCACCAATTTTGAAACCATAATCCAGTTTTTTAGAAAATAAATGGTTGAAAAGCGTCAATATCAATAGATAATTCAATTTAACTGACCCTTTAAACTATGGTAATATGCAGTATAAAAACTCATTATGTTACTAACTGGATAATCATATCTAGGTTGAAGCATGGAATAAGTATTGCATAAGCTTTGACTTGAAATACCTCAAGCACCCTTTTGCCTCTAAAGCTCAATTGTCCATCCCGCATCTCATGCTTAAGGACATTTACAAGATCCATTGAGCTATCCCAAGATTTCAGAAATCCTGAACAAAAAGTGGATTAGATTATAGTCACCAAATTCAATGAACTCCATTGAGGTTCAAGCCCTTGGGATTAGTCCAAAACTTCAAGTCAAATGAAAACTTCAATTTGAAGAGAATACTTCGTGGTGATGTACCTACCATCAGGTTTTGATGATATCATTTCTGAGCCAGTAAAAGCAATTATATCAGCAACACTAACTCTTCCCTGCGAGGCAACAGAAGGCATTAATCAAGATAATTAATACTATAATTAAATAAAAATGCAAAAGTGATTAGAACTAGGAGCTGTGACTTGCCAGTATGTACCTCTGTCCACACACACACACTCATATATATATATATATATATATATATATAGAGAGAGAGAGAGAGAGAGAGAGAGAGAATAATGCAACATCATGATCCTGATTTATACAATAGTCCAAAATCTATGTCATGTACTTTAAACACTATGGGTCTAACTACAATTTCATAATCTTATTTCTTGTTATGTACCAAATTAAAATCTCCTAAGTGATGTATATAGTTATTCGAGACCATCAACTGATAACAATTACTCTGCATGAGCTCAGGCTGAGCCAAAAGAATGGACCACAAGAGTTTCTACAGCTATTCGCGCATATGACGGGACCACTCAAACCACGCAAGGTATAGTTCGACTTAATCTCCAAGTACACCCCTCACAAAACATATTTTGTGCTTCGGAATGAACTCTAAGAAAGAAAGGAGGCTGTACTTCTGTTAAAGAAAACGACTATCTCCCAATAAAAAAGCAGAGGTAAAATCACAAAACAAGCCCCATTCCCCCCTCCCTTTCCCAACCACCAAATGGGGTTTCACTGTTTTTCAGCTGAGTCCAAGGAATTTCCATTTTGACACTTTTTTTTGCTCAGTCAGACACCTAACATCATCAAGCACTACCACCATATCAGCATGTTTGAAATATAATCCACATAAAAATGTCGTGATTTGAAAACTGTAATTGCATACAAAAATAGTGAACCAAGTGACAACTATAGGTTCCATCTCAGCCAGGAAAACTTTATTTTACAAGCAGGATACATGCACCAACCAAATCATTGCACCAAAACTTTTTATACCTTCAACATGTTGATTCCTGCCAAGTCTACATTGTCCTCAGCACACTTGTAAGTGTGAGCCGCCTGCACGAAAGAAAACAAGTCAATTCAAGTTCTATTGCAATGCTGAGTACACCTAAAAAAAGGCCTGAATCACACAATCTCAAAATAAAGGAACTTAAGTATTTTGTAACACATCAAGTGACTATTTGCATGAATGACATGAAACAACCTGACAGAAAATCTACCTTTGATGGGAGAATCTCAACAGCCGGAGAAGGGAGATGCACATCCCTCTCCGAAATAGTGGACATGCTGTGACTTCCACGATCATGAGGTGCCAAGCCAGGCAAGCACTGTGCAAGCAATGAAGGTGCACGCATTGTAGCCTTATCCTTCAGATAGCAAGTTCTTGGAAAAAAAAAAACCTATCAATCACAACACTTCATATAAATATTTTCCAAAGTAAAGCATTGCTTAAGGGGTTCCATAATCCATTGTTTTCCTCATGTCTATATGATTAAGCTGAAATTCTTAGAAACATATTGAAGACCTTTTCTGTAGCCTAATGAGTTCATGTAATCTAATAACCATGACAAAAAAAAATTGCAAAAAGAAAGGAATCAGGATTATGCGAAAATGTATGTCCCATCACCCAAAAAAACAAAACAAACCTAGAGCAACAAATTATATTATACCAAATAATCTCAACTCAACTCCAGTCAATGCAACAAAGCATTGTCTCAATCATTTTGGTATTAGTTGCATGGATCCTATTTCATCGTTGTGCTCTATTATATGCCATATTTTCTCTTAAATCACATTTTTTTACTATCTCATTTAAAGACAATTTCAGTATTCTCTATGCCATGCATTACCATCACTGACTATCTTATCAGTCCACCTTATTGGCACAAAACTAGTTCTTCTATAAACATGCTCATTCCTAATTCTATCATTTTCTATTTTTTCTATGTATTCATTTTAACATTCACATTTCCACGAGATATAGATTTTGAGTGAGTGATTTTTCAATTACCTAACTTTCAATACCATAAAGTATATCTATTCTTATGACCGTCTTTCAGTTTAAGAGGCAGTTTTCAATTACACAATACACAGGCGCACTCTTTTACCTATTCCATCATATTTTAATTCTACGAGCAAATAGGGTTACAAAAAAAAATTAATAAATAAAACAAGCAAGTACTTTGATAACAAATGTGGAAAGGAGAGGTCTGACAACAAGGGTTAGGGGGTGAGGATGGGTTCTATTTAAGTTTACTTTTTGTACATGTCTATGTTGGTAGTGGAATATGGAAAAATCACTTCTGCAATCACCAACCAAAAATAGAATTGAGGTAATTAATCAGAATTCCATATGGCCTTTAATTTTTGAACATGTAAAACACTAGTAAAACTATGAAACAATGCTCTCAGTTACAATAAACTCATCTATCTCACACGAAGTCTTTTGGACATTTGACGCTGATTTGATTTTTATAAATTTTAAGCCATAGTGATATAAATAAAACCTTAAGAACTTTGAAAAAGAAAATTCAAAGTAAAGTAAACCAGAAAACCCAAGCCCCAAGGAAATGAAATTCCAACTAAAAACAAATCAATATACCAAAACATGTAAAGAAATTGATAACCAGAATTTGAACTCATTACATTAGCAAGGCCCCTGGAGACAATTTTTAAAAAGCCCTTAAATTTGAAGAATTCGATACTGCTGAAGGGGAAACCAACAAAAAAAAAAGAAAAGAAACGAGCTAAACTACAATAAAGAATCACAATCTAGAAGGAAATCAAACATTAAATAGGTATGTAATATGAATATGTATAGAAGAACAAGGAAACAAATTCTAAAAAACCATGCCATACAGGGAAATCAATTGGAAAAAAGAGAGATAAATTACAAGAGCATAGTAAATGGAAAATGATAACGATCAAAACCAAAAATATCTTCAATAGCATAGAAGAAATAAGGAGTAACAAGGTCAACCGATTCTCCTTTTCTCAAAAAAAAAAACACATTTTTTTTTGAGTGTTAGGCTTGTAAATTTGGTTTTCTGTAGGATATTAATTCTATGTTCATCAATCCATAATCAACAATCCAAATAACAAAAAGATTGAACATTGTGGAGACACAAAATTGTACCTTACCTTGCATCCATAAAACAAACCCATTAATCATAGAAGCAGAAATATATCTAACCAACGCTCAAATTTCCTTAAACCTTACAAGTTGAAAAAAAAAACAAAAAAACAAAACTAGCCCACATCTTCAATTGCATCAGAGAACAAACCCCATAAACAAATATAAAAAGCAACAGCATCGAATTCACACAATCTGAGAGTACAGGACATACCACACAAACAATGCAATGAATTAGAAGCTCTTCCCACAAAATCTATACCCAACAACGAAGACCCTTCAATATATTAATAGAAGATCAAAGATCAAAGCTTGCAATTTCAGAGAAAATACACCCTGCAATGACCCGTTCTCCACGTCAAAAGAGAACCAAGGCGAAGCATAGACGCGGAAGATGCGAGAGAAGCTTCGGACTTCAGACTTCGCACTGTGATTATCCGACTTCATACCCCTAAACGTTCAAGTAATTTCGCAAATAGCCTCGGGCTTTGACGCTGCTATAGTGGTGTTACCGTAAATTTAGGGCAGAGACAAGGGCATTTATGTAATACCATTTTCGGTACGCTCGCGTGGACGGAGAGAACGGTGAAGGAAAGTGGCGGTTGGTCGGCTCTCGACTCATGGGCCCCATTAGTATATGTATCACATGAGTAAATATGTTGTATTATATTAATGTTCTCACGTGATGTAATAATTTATAGGGAGAATTGGACTGCTTGAAATTTTTCCCATAATTTTACCGTTTTTTTTTATATTTGAAATATTAGAAGCATATCTTTAAAGTTTGTATGTACGTAATAGTTAGATAAATATATTTATTAATAATTATATTTAAACCCCTTAAAGTTTGTAAGTTTGTAATACTTAAATCTTTTAAATTTAAAATATTATACTCAAACTAAAAATATTCTAATAAAAGAAAGAATATCAAATATTTTAAATTTTATAATTAAAATTTATGTTATACTGTATCATTTATTGAAATAAAATTAAAATTAAAAAATTAATTTTTTCTTAAAAAATCGTAATTAATATACAATTATACTATCTATTAGAATAAAACTAAAAAATCAAATAAGAGGTCTAAGTCATTTATAATAAAACATGAATTTTACATCCAAAAATTTTGTTTTATTATGTCATTTATTGAAATAAAATCAAAAATAAAAATCTAGTTTTTTAAAAAAAATCATAGTTAGTATCTATTAGAATAAAACTAAAAAAATTAAACAAGGGGTTAAACTGTAATGAACATAATATCTTTTAGCTTTAATTGAGATAGTTTAATAATTTAATTTGGTCATTTAAACGACCAAATTAAATTTCAATAGACAATATAATTGTATACTAATTACAATTTTTTAAGAAAAAATTATAATTTTAGTTTTTATTTTATTTCAATAAATGATACAATAGAACATGAATTTTAATTATAAAATTTAAAATATTTAATATTTTATTTTTGATTAAAATATTTTTGATCTAATATAACATTTTAAACTTAAGAAGTTTAAGTAATATATGTTTATAAACTTCAGGGGGTTTGAATATAATTTATTAATGAATATATTTACAGAAAGGGTCTAAGTGTTATACGCGTACAAACTTTAGGGAATCTGTGTGTGATATTTTTAAATATCAAGAATTTAAGTGATTAAGTGATAAACTTTCAGGGCCCTGAGTATAATTTTTCCTAATCTATAATATAAAATAAGATATAATTCAATTTGACGGTCTTAAATAGACTTATTTAACGGTCACTAATATTTCTCTCAAAATTATTTACTTTGCATCGTACATTAAAAGATAGATCGCTCATAAATCATACTTTTTTACATGTATATTATCGGATTGGGTAGTTACTAAACTTTGTTTAGTTCCCTTATATATTTTATAATTTATCACTCGACAAATCGACAAATCGACAAATAAAGCACACACAACTCAATAATTATCTCATATAGAATATGGAGTTCAATTTTTTTGTTTAACAATTTTTTTATTAAATAATTACTTTATAATTTATAATATAAAACATAACATGTTTCAATAAACTTAATTAACGATCTCAAATAAATTCAGTCAAGAGTCATCAACATCTTTTGCAAAATTATTTACATTGTACCGTACTTTCAGACATGAGTTACCTTTAATAATCTATATAATAAAGTAAGACATAATTCCAATCTCAAAAGATAAACAAAATGATTTTTATTTTTTGCGGTTGATATTTTTTTTTAATTTTATTTAAAAAAATTAATTCGAAGGCTAATATTAGTACCCCAAATTTAATAGAGAAAATAGGCCCTTAAGGACGTGTTTAGGGTAATTTTTTAAAAATACTTTTAGAACTGATAACTTCTCATAAATATTTTTTTTTTAAAAAGTACTATTTAGAACTATCCTACCATCACAACTACAACCACCACCATTATCCCTCCACCATAACTATCCCCACCAACACCACCAACCCCACCGCCCCACCACCACCATCATCATCGTCGTCACTATTGTCTCTATCCCACCACCACCAACGCACCACTACCCTACCACCATTATGTTCACTATCATCATCGTTGTCGTCACTTTACCACCATCTATCACCATTGTCACTCACGGTTGCCACTATCACAACCGGTAATCGTCACTCACCACAACCATCATCGTTTTTCACCACCACCACTACCACCGCTCATCCCCACTATAACTCTTACTTAAATTTATTTTTCTCTTCTATCTTTGTAATTTAATTTTGAGTGTGAATATAAATATATTTATTATTAATTATTTTTTTTATTACTTCGTGTCTTCGTGTACAAAAAATAACTAGTAATATGATATTACAGTTATATTAAATATTTAATCATATAGAGTACCAATGCGCGTATGTTTTGACCATGTGGCAGACACGTAGGTGGGTTGGTGAGGACAAGGGACAAACTAAATCATTTTTTCTTTGACCAAAGAATTGGTCCATTTTTTCTCTTTAGAGAAATAGTTTTTTAGTAACTTTTCATGTTTCTATGTTTTGGTTGGGAAGTTGGTCTGAAATTGTCCAAAAGAAAATTCCCTTCTATTTTCTTTCCTTGTCATCATTCATTCATTCGAGTTTAACTTGAACAAAGCATTAATAATTTATAGGTTTCAATTTAATCTTAACTAGTTTTTATTTTTACAACGATAATTTTATTCAATCTCACAATATTATAATTGACCCGAAAGACTATTGGACAGAATTTAGCTTAGACTTTTCTTTTTATCCCACAAAATCAGACTCTTTTGTCTCCTTTCTTATTTATCTATTTTTCTCTCAATTAGAGATAAATAATGCTCCGTTTGGTAAAAATGATGGAAAATATGAGGATACACTTTCTATCACTTAAGGAAGGAAACACTTTCATTCATTTGTGCTTGATAAGATGGATGAAAAGTAGAAATAATTAATTTTTTCGAGTTTGGTATTGCTGAAAAAAATAAAAAGATAAAAATAATATACATACGTAATTTATTATTTTATCCTTACATGAGATTAGTTTATATATTATACACCATGTCACTATAGTATATGTGTCATGTGTTTTAATAAACACAAATCACATGAAAATACATCTATTTTTTTATTTGATTTTTTAAATAAAAAAAAAATAAAAAACTAATATACAAACACACACACACACACACACACAAAGTGTTAACACATAATGTAATTCCATTGATTGGTATATGAGTTGGGTTTAGGTGTTTAATGTAAATAAGTAATTAATTAAAGGTTAAAAAAATAAATAACATATTTTTATCTGATGTGAGTACTATTTTTCTTACTTTTCTGCCCAATTTTGGAAGGATTGATTTTGGTGAGTTAGAAGAAAAGTTCATCCATCCACTTTTTCATCCTTCTAATTGTTCTTCCTTACCAAACATGTTGTTTCATCTATCTCTCAAACTTTTTATCTTTCCAAATTTCAATCATTATATTTTTCAATTGTACTAAACAGAGCATAAATATATGCGCTTACATAAATAATATGTATATGTATGTATTTATATATTTAAATATGGTACTACATAAACAGTTAGGTATTATTGAAGTTTTAATTAAAATAAAAAGTATCCTTCACAATATGATGATGGTGTGACTCAAATTTAATTGTTATTGTGATAACCGAGTCTCGACTCGAACTAGATTAAATAATTAAAATTTTATGAGTTATATGATATTGTTAGAAATTATACGAATTCATTTGGGGTCAAGTTATAAGTTAGAATTTAATTGTGAAATATTTGATTATTATAAATTTTATAGTGACCAAAATATATATATATATATATATATATATATATATATGAAATAAAGGATAAGTGTAACTATGAAAATATGGGCCAGTCGTCAACGTGAATGAATTAAAAGCTAAGGAATAAAATAAGATAGCAAAACAAAATAAAAGAGATAAGAAGTAACAAAAAAAATAGGTAACTATAAAAGAAAGCATGAGGGGTAAAGTAGGACACCTGTCAATTTATACAAATGCGTGGCATGTGATTTGTGCCTATTTCTTATTAAGGCAGGAGATCATGCATAAAACAAATAAAGAGAGGCAATAAAAGGGCAGAAGAGCTACTGCCTCGAGGATAACAATTGTGAAGGGGATAGAAAAAAAAAAAACAAGAGTTACAACTGCTCTTGTGAAAATCAACAGCAAGATGACATCCGATTGGAAAGAAATTCTAGTATGTTGTTCGAGATATTTCAAGTTATCAATATATCAATAGGTTAAGAATTGAGTAAGTGATTTATACATGATATGCATTCCTTTAATTTCTTTGGAAAGAGTATTTTGTTGATATTGTGCTATTCGTACTCAAATTGTGGTGTTGTTTGGGTTTGAGTTTCGAAATAATATTTCATTCAATTACTGATATTTTGTTTGACTTGTCATTAATTGCTATAATGTTAACTTTGGTGAAATACTTGAGATTTTTTGACTCGTGCATAAGATATACTCAGTGGCATGATTATGATTGTGATTCGTGTTCGTGGCCCTGAGGGGTGGATATGATTTAATTAAAATGTACCGAATGATGCCTAACTTGTTGTCGGGATTGACCGAGTGTTCAATCATGGTTAATTTGATTTGTTCAAACGTTCGAGATCATTGACTTGTTCAATTTATTTGTATTCCGTAAATTATCGTAATAACTCTTGTGTCATCAATGGATTATCGACTGGTTGATAAATTATCGTTTCGCCTTTGAGTTCGTATATTATGTTTTAAATTACTTACCGAGCTTTCCCCCGCTCACCCCCATTTACCGTCTCAGTTGCAGGTTGAATTTGGAGTAAAAATTTATGGAGAATCAGGTTGATCAATGAATGAAAGATTTTGATTGACTGTAATTTAAATAGTTATCGAGAGGTTATTTATTCATTTTCGAGGTGTTTTAGTAATTATGATATTTAATAAAAATTTAATTTATTCGTTATTGAGATAATAACCACTCTGAATATTGCTAAATGGATTAGGGTGTTACAGTTATTTTTCACCCAAGCATCAGTTTTTTTTCTTCTTAATATGGAAAACCATGAGTACAACCATTTGAGTTTTATGTAATTTGGGAGAAAATATTCATTGTAACGGTGACGACATATCATCATCGTCACATGGTGGCATAATCCAATTAAAAGATAATAAAAAAATAATGTGGATCCCACTAATCTTATATGTTGCTGATTGAATACGATAATTATTGGTAATTGTGAAAATAATGGAGTTCATTTTTTATATTTTTAATTTTTTAATTAGATAGTGACACAATGTGGTACTGATGACGATGTGTCACCATTGTATTGAATATTTACTCGTATTTTGGACTCACGGGTGATGGGTCATTTTTTCTTCCATTTTTATTTTATTTTTCCGCATTTCCAATTCTTAACAAGGTCGGATCAAGTTTTTTTTTAAAAAAAAATTAAGGTGAATTAGATTTTGTATGATAAAAGATATTCAAATTTTTAATTAACACCATGAAAGATTAATATTTTCAAATTGCACTATGAATCATACACATTTTTGCATGGGTAAATTATAAATTATACCCTTAAAGTATGCATGTAATTCTTATTTAGTGTTTCAAGTTTTAATTACAATAATTAAACCTTAGAGTTTTAACTATGTTTTAATTTAGTACTTATATATATCAAAATTTATCAATTTATTTTAACCGAACAACACATGACTTAGAAAAAATGGTTTATTTGTCTGGTAATTTTTTTTTTTGTGTAGATTAGAAATTTTACTTTATTTCTTCTGATTTCAAGAAAAAGAAGTTAACAAACCCGAAAAACAGATACAAGAGTGAGAATCTAAGAGATATTGCGAAACAGAGAGGTAAATACTAATGCATTTGAGAGACATTTTTTGTTGGACAAATACACCTTTATGAAATGAAATAATAGATATAAATGGAAAGACTAAATTGAAACTCAATTAAAACTTCAAGGATCGAATAGAAATTATGTGTATACTTAAGGGTAAAAATTATAAATTACCCTTTTTGTATTTTTCTATTTATATGCTCAATTATTAGTGTGGAAAGATTAAATTGAAACTCAATCAAAACTTTGAGAATGTAATTTTTAAATTGAAACTTCAAGAAATTATGTGTATACTTAAGGGTATAAATTATAAATTACCCTTTTTGTATTTTTCTATTTATATGCTCAATTATTCGTGAATTACCCAATTTAAAGCATTTTATTTGAGATTTTCATAATCAATTTTATTAAAATTGACCAATTGCTACTTGTTATGTGATTAAGGGTGTAATTTGAGAATTTTAATCTTTCAAGTTGTGAATTGAAAATCTAAAAATCATTCAGGGTGCAACGTTTCATTTGCTCTTTGAACGATTGAATCAACTGGATACCAATCGCTCGAGAGTAGGTATCACATTGGATCGAAATTTGATTAGCCGGACATGGATAGATATTTTTTACCGATAATCCGAAACCAAATATAAATCCACTATATTATATTTAACGGATTTGAATTTGGATTTCAATTTGTTAAAACCTCGTTAAATTAAGTTATTTGGATCGAATTATGGTTTTTTAACCGATTCGAATATGGATTACAAAAATAAAATTTGTCATAAATTCGAATTGGATTTGGGTTGACCCTTTTTAAAATCGGATTCGTTCTATAATATAAAACATGACAAATTTTAATAAGTCTATTCAAAGATTTTAAATACACTCATCTAACGGTCACAAACACCCCCCTTAAATTTTCACGGTACTTTCAGGGACGAATTATCCTTAATTTTAGTATAAACTCGATCCGGTGACAGACCTAACCAAGAGAGAATCTGTCCACTACCTAAGAAATAATTTTTTTAACTAATGAACATTTTTTTGGATAAGTCGCTAATGAAGATTTTTTTAAATTTCACTTGAAATTTATTTAATTTCTGGATTTAATTGATGAACTGCTAGCTAATCATCGACTCATTGGCTTTTATACATTCTCAGATGATGCGAGGCAGAAACAGTGAGAATGCTCAACCTTAGATTTAGCAACAACAAAGGTTTTTTATACTTGCATTGGATTGGACCAAGGCAAACAATCCCAACCCGACATATACTTGGACATAATTTAGACTTAGTTTCAAGTTCTCGGTGACCAAACCTAAATTCCTATACATTTAAATATAGAAAATAAGCACTTTTATTGGTAAAGATGCTGCCAGTTTGTCATTTCAAAGCTAAAATTATGCCACATTTTTTTTCCATCAATAGAAGCATTGGATTTTATTCATACTTATATATCAAAAAAAAAGAGCGACATAACGAACTCAAGTGTCTGCTCTTGCCAAACAATTGAATCATCAATAAAACTAGCATGTTGTGCTAAACTTTGAGCTACTCAATTGCCTAATTTTGCCCAAAGCACCTCATAAACCCAGAACTTCAATAGTTCATTTGTGATTTCAGCTAACATAGGTCCCAAAGTTGAAGGCCCTTTCCCAGACCCTCTTATTAGCTTCAGTAAAGACCTGCATCTTCATCTAGCCCCCTAGCTTTCACCTTCTTTGGAAGACCATCCCTAAATACAACATTTTCGTTTCTAATAACAACTCCAACGCCGATGAAATGGACGAGTTCCGGAGCAAACCCACTGAAATTGACCTTGAATGTGCCTGTTGTGGGTGGGTTCCAATTCATTGCATAGGATGGAGGGTCTTTTAATACCATGGCTTCTTGTGCCTGTTGAAACTGTATAGTGCAATCCATAGTTGCTTGGGAGATTTCCGCGGGGTTTTCTATGTATTCTAAATTTGTAACTCAAATTTGTATTCCAAATCAATGAGGATCATTGGATTAGTGGGTCCCATCAACTTTTTTAAATGGAACCCACTGATCTAATGGTCCTCCTTGATTTGAGATATAAATTTGTGTTACAAATTTGGGATATATATCATTACTCTTTCAGAAAAGCTTAGGTGAACTATGTCGTTTTGATCCCCCAGATCAACCAGCGTTGTCGGAAAATAAAGTAAACTCATTTTCCTCAAGTAGCTAATGTATACCTCGTGCCTATTGTGCAGGATCTAAACATGGAATATGAACGATTCTGTGTATGGAGCTTAGCTTCCATGAAAGCTTTCCCCAATAAGACTCCTACAAAATGTGAAGCCCAGATTCAACAACTCTTTGACAAACGCTGAATAGATCATCCACTCTGATTTTGCTACACTTCAGGTCGTCATTAGTTGGTAAAACATTTACACATAGCCTCCAAATGAAAAATTTAGGGGTCGTTTGATAACGTTTTTGTTTTCGCGTTTTGAAACAAAATTAAAAACAGAGATAATTTTTATCTCTATTTTGTGATAAACACTAAAACAGAAAACATGTTTGAGAGTCATTTTTGTTTATCAAATTATGAGAATAAAAATAAAAAATATATTTGGTAACTACTTCAAATTTTATCCTAAATATGTTTGGTATCTATTTGGCAATTAAATCCCAAATGACAATTCAATCAATTTCAAATGACAATTTAATTCCAAATGACAATTCAATCAATCCTAAATGACAATTCAATAATTGTAAATAACAATTCAATTAATACCAAATAACAATTAATCCCAAATGCAACACACACAAAACATAATACACGCATAATGAACACAACAAACACATACACACATAGACTCAACACAACACACACACACGCACAGAGCTGTGCATATATATGCACAGCTTCTGGGTTTCATAGAGAAGAGGGAGAGAGGAGAGAGAGAGGCAACGATGGAGGTGGGTTTCACAGTTTTTGGGTTTCACAACGTCTGGGTTTCACGAAGGCAGAGGTAGCAATGGAGGTGGGTAACGGGTCAGCGATTCGTCTGGTGGTCTAATACAGAGAAAGGAGAGGAAAGGGGAGAGGAGAGAGAGAGAGAAGCGATGGGGAGGAGAGATGAATGAAATGAGTTTTTATACTTCAACAAAAAAAAGCTTTGTTTTGCTGTTAAGAGGAGTTGAAGTCCAGATCTCATTAATTTCCCAACCTTTTTGTGCATGTTGTCTTTGTTTTTGGTGTTTCTTGCAACTTCTTTTTTTTGTTCCCATTTTTTTTATTTTGTTTCCAAGACAACTAATATAAAACAAAAACAAAAACAGTACCCAAACATGTTTTTATTTTCATTTTTGACAAAAATTGAAAACAAAAAATACAAAACACAAAATGAAGACAGTTACCAAACAATCCCTAATTTTACTTGCGATTCTTTGATTCCAGAAAAACTCCAATTATGACCCCCCCCCCCAAAAAAAAAAATGACCTGAATTATCTACAACATGTGTTGCAAGGTTTTGGTTGACTGCGACATAATAAGCACTACGCACTGAAAACCGACCATTGGCATAAAAATGCCAAATCAATTTATCTTCTAGACAGGTATCTGGTAAAATAATATTCTAGATGACTACTGCTTCATGGGGGAAGAAGATGTCGTCCACCAATTATTCATTTCATCATCTAAGTTGGGAGTCAAATAAATCGCTCCTAGTAGCTTCACCACCCAAAAATATTTAGTGGCATGATAGGCTTGAACGTGTTCGGTATAGGTATCTACCTATCATACCATATTTTGACCTTGGTACCATTTCCAATCCATTTGAATCCCTCTTCAATAACCTTTCTAGCTTCCAATATACTTTGCCAAGTATACGAGGGTTTACTTCCAAGACTAGCTTCCAAGAAAGTTGACAAAGAGAAGTGTCTAGCTCTCAGTGCCTTGTGAAGAAAACTCCATGCTTGCTTTGCCAAAAAAGCCAGATTAAAAGCCCTAAGATCTTGAAAGTTCATGCCTCCCCTTGATTTACTTTTACATAGATTTCTATAGCTAACCCAATGTAGTTTCCTTTCCCCATTCTTCTACCCCCATCAAAGTTTGTTGTAAAAGATTATTCAACAGAGGAATTGTAAAGACAATCAACTTGCTGTTCTTTGATATTGTATTCATATTTAAGAAGCAAAGTTACAACAGAACTCCTTAATTACAGGAGTTCAAAATGGAACCAACTACATTCAAAGTGTAGGATAAGTTCTATTTGAATAAACTAATTATAAGAGTGAATGCAATTCAAAGTGATGTGGGATAACTACTGCTATGTCATGGTTTATCACACCCCCGCAAGTGAATGGGTCTAGGAACAACCATAAACTTGGATTTAAGATATTGGAAACGAGTTGAAGATAGTCTCTTGGTGAATATATCAGCCACTTGATCAACCGTGTGAAAGTGATGAACATCAATTTCTTTGTTAATAACCTTATCACGAACATAATGAAAATCAACCTCAATATGTTTTGTACGTGTGTGAAAGACAGGATTGGATGCCAAAGAAATTGAACTGAAGTTATTACACCAAATAAGAGGAGTCGTGGGAATAAAAATATTAATATCTTTAAATAAGTAACGCAATCATGAGATTTCAGCCATTGTATGAGCCAATTGGTGGTATTCAGATTTCGTACTCGAGCGAGAAACCGTGGTTTGCTTCTTACCACACCAAAAAATGGGACTTAAACCAAGAAAATTGCAAAAAACCACCTGTGGAGAGTTTGTTAATGGGGCAGCCAACATAGTTGGCATTTGGGAAGACTTCAAGACATAAAAGGCCTGGTTGGGAGAGAATGTCGTGATTGATTGTCCCCTTAAAATAACAGAGAATACGTTTAATAGCTATCTAATATGCCGTCATTGGTTTGTGCATAAATTGACAAACCTGATTGACTGAAAAAACAATATCGGGTCATGTTAGTGTAAGATATTGCAAAGCACCCATGACGCTGCGATATTCAGACAGATCTATGAGTGGAAGTCCATCATTTTGTCCCAGTTTACCGCTGGTAGCACATGGAGAAGTAAAGGGTTTAGCATCAACCATTTTTGTATGGTGGAGCAATTCTAAGGCATATCGATTTTGGGCCACAAAAAGAGTTCCATTTGAATAGGTAGCCTCCAACCCTAGGAAATAATGTAAGGCCCCCAAAACTTTCATGGCAAAAAGTTTGCTTAAATCAGTGATAAGCCCTTGAAGATGATGTGCACTATTGCCCGCAAGAAAAATATCATCAACGTAAATAAGAAGGAACATAATGATGCCATCACAATGATACGTAAACAGGGAGTAATTCACCATGGACTCTATGAAACCCAAATCTTCAATATAATTCAAGAACCGCTGAAACCATGCTCGTGGTGAGTGTTTTAAACCATATAGAGACTTGTGTAAACGACAAATGTGATTTGGAAATTTGGTATCCTCAAACCTTTGGGGTGCTGTATGAATACTCCTCACTTAGCACACCATGAAAAAATGCATTTTGAACATCTGGTTTGCGGATGGGTCATTTATGAGAAATAGCAATGGCGAGGACTATCCGAATGGTGGTATGCATTTAGATAGCATGTTTTGCACTATCATAGCATGTTTTAGTAAGACTAAAGCAAGGGGTTGAGTGAATTTGACTATGACCAATAATGAATGGGATTAATTGTCAATTCAAGGAAAATTGATAAATATGTTGAGTCTGTAATTTGACATACTAGTTGGTTTTACATTGTTTGTGATCTTTTCATGCATGAGCACATATCCATATGTTGGTTAGTTATTATTTAGAGAATTTATTTGGTTAAATACTTGTGGGATATATCATTGAAACTCTAGAAAACTTATTTAAACATCATTCAAAGAGAATTGAGGTATTCATATAAGTTGGGGGGTGTTTAGTGGTTATGATGGGTTAGTATAAAAAATAAAAAATAAATAAAAAAAGGAGTTTTTTGAAAGTATTTTGATTTGATCCTTCATGAGTTAGAAGAAAAAAAATACGAAGATAAGAAACAAGAAAGGGGCATGCGGTGAGTTGAAATGGAGCGTAAAACACACTCACTCATAAACATATGTTGAGAATGAGATTGAGCGTAAAACACACTCGTTCAAGAGAAGGCGAGATGAAGCGTAAAACACACTCGCTCAATAGGAGGTGAGATAGAGCATAAAATGCACTCACCGACTGAATAAAAAGAGAAAAAAAAAGAGAGAGATAAAAAAAAATATTTGGACCTTTTAATTATATGTTTTGCCTTAATTGACAGAGATTGATGTGAAACGTAAGTTCATAGAGTTGATATTGAGTATTTCCTATGGAGCGCTTGATTACGTAAATGTATTTGTGTGATGATTAACTTGACAGTTTGGATATGTACATATATTTAAAGGGTCATGAGTGGAAGTAAAAGTAAGGAGTATGTTCAATTGATAGACTTTATACTGTTTTGAAGTTTCCTGTGTACTATTATTTGTAATAACTTTTGGGGCCTTTATTCAGATTCATATTGATCCATTGTTTGAGTAGTTGGTTGTTAAGGTATGATTTTTATTCTTAGTATTTTGCTTGAGTACAAACAAAGATTTAAGTTTGGGGGTATTTGATGAGTGAGTTTTATACCTACGAATTGAGTACTCTCGACTTGATGAAATTGCAAGTTTCAAGTATTTTATGTTCTTTTTATTTTTTTTTGTGTGTTTTAATGTTATTTTATAGGAATCATCATTTGGAAGGAAAAAAAGTGATTTGGAAGGAAACAAGGTCAATTGGGAGCCTAAGTGTTGGATTTTTGAAGACTAAGTAACAAAGGCAGCTCTTGGCTTAAAAGGGAGTAGTGCAGCTGTGCTAGGATCAGCGCCTAGGTGCTTGAAGGGCAGAAAGTGTAAGACCTCAATTCCTCCTTGGATGACATTACAATCTAAAAACTAT